AGAGACAAAAGGATTATAAGAATAGATGATTCTAGTACAAGTGGGAGATTGTTGGGAATGTCCTAAAATCATTTGTACTTACTCTTGTTTAAGTCGAAACGTCGAGATTTGACAATCATATAAAATTAGGTGGTTATAATGTTTTGCTAGAAACCGCTTATAATCTATAGATTGAGAATCTATTACTAATTTTATATGACCTACAGGGTCACACACCTAAGTAAACTGGATCACTGATATATTGGGTTGCATGATATATTTATGTATATGTGTTATATATGATATAAGTGCATATATATATATATATATATATATTTATATGTATATACTCGTAAGGCATATAATTATTATTGATAAGTGGGCTTTGCCCAATAAGCTAATCAACGTGATTTAACTCACGTGTATTAGGTTAATGAGAGTCATATTATATAAGATAATGTGACTTTAATAATTACATGTGGAGACTTGCGACGGCAAACCCTAAAACACAAAAGGACGAATAGTTCGTTAAGGTTCTGAGATTTGATCTCGACGGCACCAGCATCCCGTATCGATCCAGTTTGTGTGCGTGTGGATACCGGTAGAGGCACGACGTTTGGAGTGCTTGAAATCTCGAGTTGGTTCATTCACCCTTCCGCTGCAGAATAATCAGGTATATTCGAAGAACCTAAAGATCTAGATTATTTCAGTATTGGCATGAGATTCTAGGCAAATAGAATTCATAAGTTGATTTATAAATCGTTATAAACTGGTATGAATTTCCTTCAAACCATTGCTCCTCCCTCTACATATGGTATTCCACAGCTTTCATCATCAGCAATGGATTCCATTTCCTTTTCTTTTATAGTGTCTCCGTTGCTTGGATAAACCAGGGAAGGTGTTGTTGATAAGTCTTCTTGTACGTGGCATGCTGTAACTTCAGTTTCCATTGGAGAAGATGACTGATCAAGACTTTCATGAACTCTTTCACAGTACGGCAATGCATTCTTGAGGAACTTCTCCATGTAACCTGCCCCAGAGCTTGAGTTAATCTGAGGTCCATTCAGATGTCTTCTCTTTAGTTTGACATGAAATTCAGGATCATTGTGCCCGTTCTCAACATGCTCTACTAAGAAGAGCTGATGCAACCTGTACCATCAACAATTAGATTGTGTCACCAAATCAAAGTGTTGATCATATGAACTTCAGAAATAGTATGACTTGAGACAAAATTAACTAAGTAATATAGAGCATGAGTTCTCACTTAGAATGTGATGTTTGTGAATACCCAAGTGTCTCTTCATTACTCGTGTGTAATACTTTATTCTGTAGATGAAAAAATATTCGTTCATATGCAACACATAATATACCCAAAATGTACATTTCAGACTAAGAAAATGTATTTACGTGAGTACCTTTGTTTTACGTGGTCTTTCATCATTGCTGAGTTTTGATGTTGCTAATACTGATGATGATGCAGTAACCGTCTTCAACAAAGATGGGTCAGAGTAACGCTTCAAGCATGATCCAGACCCATCGGCATCAAACCTTAAAGAGAGCAGAAAAATAACAAAAGACAAAAACTTGTAAGCCAAGTTTTACTATAATGAAAACTGCTGAAACTTTCTTGAGTTTACTGAAATGTACTTGTCAAGAAGGTAGAGCTGCGGCGGACCACGACATTCCTCATATGAATCCATTATACAATGAGGCAACTTGCTTGGAGAAATTAGATTTTCTTTTGTTTGCAAATTAGAATGCCATTCCAAGCCTGAAATAAAGCATGGCCTATCAATGCATGGAGTCATATCAAATATAATTAACTTAGTAACAGCTCAGTTAGTTTCTTTCTATCAAGACTGGTCCTAAATCATTCGTCTCAGCACCTAAACTTTAATTGATTAATATGTAAAAATAATTTGCCCCCAAATAAATTAAAAAAATATGTATTGATTATTTAGTCTCTAATCTGTAATTGTTTCAAGTCCCACAAATTTCAAAACCGGTTCTGATTCCTATAGTACTATAAGTTAAGAGTAAGATGACTCGCCTGGATCGTAGAAAAAAGTTGAATGATCGGTTTGAGATAGAATAGGTATCTCAATTGACTTAGGAACTTCTACTTCAAGCTGTTGAAGACGAACTGCCAAACCTTTTCCTCGTGCTGAAGTTGTCATTAGTTCTTCATGCAGGTTATGGAATACCTCACTAGCAAACCTTATTAGTATGAAGAGAGACATAAATGTGAACGTAAGGACCCAATTAAAACACTGGTTTCAAATATTCATGAATACAAATATTTCAATAAATACTAATATGAACACAACACAATGATAACACAAACTCAAAAGGTCTCTCAAATGGCCCTTCATAGTTCATACACATTAGGGAGAAAGAAACTTACTCAGCGAGGTCGCCAAGCTGGCGCAAAAGGCCGACGTGACCGGCCATTGATAAACCTTCGAGCAAAGCTTCAGCATCTTCCTTGTCTGTGGATCGGTACAGCTCCTTATTCGCCAAGCCGTACTCGTTCCGTATCTGGTATCTCATCAACGTCATTATGCTTCTACCTCCGAAAACAATCGTATTACTTCAAAACTAAACAATTAACTTCTGAGGTAAATTGCTAAAACTTATAAGTGCAAGTTGTGCAACTAATGTCTATAGTGCTTAAAGAGCGACATACTTTGCTTAGAATCATAAAGACATAATAAAACGCATCTATTAAATAATTATTGCAATGTAATTATATATTTTGTACGAATTATTTGTCTTCAAGTGGCTGTGGTTGAGATCAGTTAGCTCAATGGGTACAGCAACCTTCACCTAAGTTTTTCTATTATACATCATTTTGTCTTCATTACGAATGATGATAAAATAGTGGGGATTTAGTATAATATTAATTGAGATCGAATGACCAAATTTCTCTAACAGTCATATATACATTATCCTAATTAACGGTTAGGTGGTAGACGTTTTTAGTGAATCATTAACGTTTTAGTAAGGTCATTATTACTTTAGAAGCCCATTTTATTTACGGAAAATCGCATAAAAAACCTTCAAGGTGGCAACCACTTACACTTTAAACCCTGACAGTATTTTACAAGCACTTTAAACACTCAAGTTGGCAAATTTAGCATATTAAACCTCCAATCTGGCTTACTTGTACATCAAGTTAAAAATGTGACCGGTACTGTTCAAAAGCGATGACGTGTCGGTTTTGTTTTTTTTTAAATATTTTAGTAAAAAATAAATATAAAAATACAGAAAATATAAAAATTCATTAAAAATTGAAAAAAATCCGAAAAAATTCAAAAAAATCAGAAAAATCATAAACATTACAAAATCACAAAATAATTAAAATATTTTATTAATAAAATATTAAAAATGAGAAAAACTTAAAAGAAATTATAAAAAAATCCCAAAATAAGAAAATTCAAAAAAAATTTAATTAAAACAAAAATGAAATTTAAATAAAATTAATATAATAATAATAGATAAAATAAATATAAATTCAAGAATAAATAATTTTATTTGTTTTATAAAAAAACGAGAAAACACTATATTTTTTTAAAAAAAAGAATCATTATCTTCAAATGATTCTCGTGAACCAAATGAAAGCAAACAAATTAAATTCCAAGTCATTTTGTTCTCATTTTGTTGCTTATTAGTCAAAGTTTTCTGGATTTTATAACTAGATTAATATAGGGTATTTTAATAACTGCTAAAAGATTTGGATTTTAACTTGTTTCCTTTGATTTGGTTCACAAGAATCATTTGATGGTATATATCATATACATTCAATTATACGATGACATATATATAATATATAATAGTGACACGAAAAACAAATAACAATATAATTTTTTAAAAAAACTTATGCAGGTGAAAGTCTAGGTGCTAAAAGACTTGGAATTTAATTTGTTGCTTTGATTTGGTTCACGAGAATCATTTGAAGATAATGATTCTTCTTTTTTAAACTTATAGTGTTTTCTCGTTTTTTTTATAAAACAAATAAACTTATTTATTCTTGAATATATTTATTTTATCTATTATTCTTATATTAATTTTATTTAAATTTCATTTTTATTTTATTCAAAATTTTTTGAATTTTCTTATTTTGCGATTTTTTTATAATTTCTTTTAAGTTTTTCTTATTTTTAATTTTTTATTAATAAAATATTTTAATTATTTTGTGATGTTTTAATGTTTATGATTTTCTGATTTTTTTGAATTTTTTTGATTTTTTCAATTTTTAATGAATTTTTAATGATTTTTAATGAATTTTTATATTTTCTGTATTTTTATATTTATTTTTAGTAAAATATTAAAAAAAAAAAAAAAAAACCGACACGTCGTCGCTTTTGAACAGTACCGGTCACATTTTTAACTTGATGTACAAGTAAGCTAGATTGGAGGTTTAATATGCTAAATTTGCCAACTTGAGTGTTTAAAGTGCTTGTAAAATATTCTTAAGGTTTAAAGTGTAAGTGGTTGCCACCTTGAAGGTTTTTTATGTGATTTTCCCATTTTATTTATCTATTTATTTATTTGACATTCTACAAGACAAGGAGTCAAGGACTGACAAATTAACACAGTATGTTCGTACAAAGCTGTTAGACACCATTTTACATATACATGGAGTTGCTTGTTTAGCTAGGAGAGTCTAACTTGAATATATATTTATTGAAAAAAATATATTTGGTAATGTAGTTGAAAAGCATCAAGAGTAGTATTACCTAAGGCTTCAAAGGAAAGACTATATGATTGCTATATTTAATTTTGTCTCTAGCATAAACTATAAAGTATGGTTGGTACATTGTTAACGTTATCGTAATGAGTAATGATGAGCTGAATTCGTGCGTGTGTCATATGACGTCCACAAATGGTCGAGGTGGGAAGCTCTACATGATTAGGCCTGATTAAGTTATTTAAGTCCAGTTAAAGAGACGCAAAGTGTCACAGCCCATCACTTCAAGTGTTGGACTAAAATTTATTTTGTTGTTGTTGTAAAGTGTTGGTCCTGTTGGATTAGATGAAATCGTTTTGACCATAAGAATTAGCAGGGTTATCCAGAAACGCAGCGTAGGTTGGTTTTGAGGCTGATGGAATGAGATTACCAAACACTACAACGGCCTGGGCTTTTTTATTATCGTCTTAAATAATAAATGTGGATGGAAACACCCAAAATTCACAAAAATGCAAACAAAGCAAATTGCAATTCCTTTCTAATGAAACATTTCCAAAAAGGACATCTATTATCTATCCAGTTTATCCTCATATAAGTTATAACATCCGCAGCAATCATTGTTCTAGTATAATATAATTTAACAATAATCTAGTTGTACTCTTGATCTATTTTTGATTATTAAAGAATGTTTTCGTTTATTTAAGTTTGAAATTTACTTTATTTAAATAAGGTAATTTTAATATTGTAAGTTTACTATTTTCTGAATAAAAACTTATTTATTTTCTAATATTTATAATTTTATCTCAAATGTTTAATAAAATAGTTTATCTAAAGTTAAAATATGTTAGATATGTTTTCGTGAATTTTATTTCCAACCATCTATATTATTAAAACTGAAATACATTTGAGAGTTGTTTGGAAACATAGATAGCATTTAATAAAAAGAATATATTGTTGTTGACAACATGAATTGCAATATTTTTTAAAAAAATGAGCTTAGTTATTAAGAAAAATTAAAAATCCTATAATAAACTATCTATTTGGACCAGCTTTACAATATATGCAAATGAGTCAATCTAATTACCTAAAACATCTTTTGTTTGAAATAATCATAATAAAATTTTAAACTTTATATACATGTTTCAAATCAAAAGAATTATTTAAAATTAATTTATATCAAAATTTGATTCTAAAATATACATATATTCAAAAATTGATTTTTACTAAAATGTTTTCCAATAGCAATTATAAAAAAAGTTTTCAATATATATAACAAAATACAATACAAAGTCTATTAATATTGTGGTTTTATATTCACAAAAAAATTTAAATATAATATATGTAATTATTTATATTAAACTTGTGAGTTTGACCTTTTACACATGGGCCCTGCGCTGTTTGACCCACTACATGGCAGGTGGGGATCAACATATTTAAAAAATATGTGAGGCGGGTGCAGGTGCGGGGTTGGATCGTTCGAATTTAAACTAGTTACCTGTTAATCCGCAAAATATTTTTTTTAAAACTATTTTTAAATGATATTATTTTTAAAATAATTAAAAATTATGAATATAAAAAGATAACTAAAATATATTATTTTAGTTTTAAAAAAATAAAAAATAATTATTTCTAATGCTATTCATAGATCTTTTGGGTTATCCATAAATTTAAACGAAGTGGGTGCAAGTATATTTTTTTCTACTTGGGGGTCAAGTGGATCAAAGTTTTGAATAAAAAAAACGATTCAACACGCAGAGGAGCGGGTCGATCCGCATATTCAACACTAATTTTTATGATGGTTCATATAAAACACTATTATTTATATGATTACTTATATGATAATACATATAATTACTTATATGATAATACATATGAAATAATATTTAATTATATGATATAAAAAATAACAATATATTTTTGAAAACTACACCCGTGCAGGCGCACATATCAAAGTCTAGTATACATTATAAAATTATAATAAATCAAATATAATTCTTATTTTTAGTTAAAGCCAAAAAAATAAAAAAATAAATTATACAAACTCAACCAAACTATCTATTCTTGGGTCTCATGGGCGCAAGACATGTTCGAGCTAGTATCTCTCCTCTTCATTTCGAAATGGAGGCTCTTATCTGGGCAATTGAGAGTATGCGAAATTTGCGCCAATATTCAGTTACTTTTGCAACTGATTGTGCTCAACCGGTGAAGATGATTTCAGAACCAGATGAATGACCAGCTTTCGCAACGTATCTAGAAGACACAAGACGATTCAAGGGAGTTTCAACAGCTCGAGAATCATCTATGTATCAAGAACACTGAATTTGAGATGGATAGACTGGCACGAAGTGCGAGGAAACAATCTTCATTTGTTGTTCACATGGATACAGAGCTACCGGTTTGGTTCACAAAGTCCATATGAGTCGGTGTTTTTATTTCATGTCAAAAAAAAAATCTATACTATTGTATAAGAAGTAAATTTGCTTAGTTGTCAACATCTCCTTGATTTTAGGTAAATTGTTTTATTTACTTTATTTAAATAATTTCATATACAATTTATTATTTAATAAAAACAAATTTATATTAATAATATTATATTTTAGAAAATATGTTAATTATTTTGTATTAAATTGTTATCTTAAAAATATATTTTTCTATTATAAAATTCAAGTAAATTTATTGAATGATTTGTAACTTCTCCATGATTTTTTGTAATTTTTCTTACTTGTATTAGACTTTTAGAAAATAAGATAATTCTTATGTATTATATTATTATCTTTACAATATATTTAAAAAAACAATCATAGAAATTAAAAACTAAGTTAAAATATTAATAGTTAAATATAAAGAAAATAATGTTGATTTATCAACTTCTCCATGGTTTTATATTTTTCTTATTTAAAATATTTTAATAATTTCATATATAATTTATTAAATAATAAAACAAATGTATACTAATAATACTAGATTTTTAAAATAAGATAAATCTTATGTATTAGATTGTTATCTTGAACATATATTTCCTGTTAGAAAAATTAAGTGAATTATCTGATTTGTAATTTCTCCATGATTTAGATACTTTTTATTATTTGTCATATTTTTAATAATTTCATATAAAATTTATTATAAAATAAAAACGAATTTCTATTAAAAATTATATTTTGAGAAAATAAGATACTTCTTATGTATTATATTGTTATTTTGAAAATATATTTTTATTATAGAAATAAAAAATTAAGATAGAAAAAATTATAATTAAAATAAATTAAAGCAACACATTTGTAAAAATATATTTTTAAAAATATTTTGTTATGTGAGTGTTGTCATTTATAATTTATTTTAAAACATAAATCCTAACTTATTATATTGGTTTGAATTAATAAAATATAGACTAATAATAAATTGTACGAAAATTATGGCCGCATGTGCGGGCAAAACACCTTGTAGTATATATAATCTTAAGTTTATTCTGGATTGATCAATGATCACCATATTTTAAGTATTTGATTTTAATAAGTTTTAGATGATTTTGGATGAACTAAAAAAAAATTATGATTTTAATTAAACCAATATAAATTATGAGATTTAAGATCATTATACCACTAAAAAACTTTAAATCTCCATAAATATCATAAATAAACTCATGTTTGATAGATGATTTGTTATTTTAGTACAAATCAATTTAAACTCTAGAATGAATACATTTCCCTTCAATTCGTAAACATGTGTAAGGGAGAAAGCATATTCTTACCTGGTTTAGTTTAGGTTCTACCGAAAGTGATGGTTTAACCCGGTTCACCTTGAAGATAGAATTTTGGCTTTTTTTCCAGCACCGTTGGATTGTATTTAAAGTCTTTGACAGCCAAGATTTGATCACTCTGTTCAATATTTACTACTAGGGGTGTGCCCGCGCTACGCGCGGGATTTTGTGATGTTTTTTGTGTTCATTGTTGTATTAGGTGTATTTTTCTTTTTTTATTCGTAAGTTAGAAGGTTGTTTTGTATAGTGGGTTCCTTTTTTTAACTTTGGAGGTGTTTTATTATGTGTTACAATCCTTTGTTTTTAAATTTTTTAAATATTATATGTTTAATAACGTAAGAAGTTGAATTTATTATGTTTTAAATCAAATATTTTGTTATTTATTATTATGCTTATATACATTAATTCCAACATTGTTGGTTTTAACTATATACCAATTTATTAAATATTCTATTAGTCAATTAAAGTTTTTTAATGATTAATATTATACAAAACACTATGTTTTTTTTCTTTGTCGAATACATAAAACTAAGGATATGCAGCCTTCTCCGCTTATTTTATTTTGAAAAGAATGAAACTTCACTTTAATCTACAGCAAAAACTATACCATTATATTATTTTTTTAAATATATCATTCATTTGATCGACACCATACGTAATTATTCTAAAAACAGAAAGGGATGATCGAACAAAGATATAGACACTTTGATGATATTTAATCAAGAACATTTCGACATTTAATTTTCTTGGATGATGTATGTACAGCATTGCTATAAGTCTTAAAGAAGACAATATTGCTATAGCTTAAATTTTATTTCAAGTGCATTCAATACAGTTTTTTATGATATTAATTTTCTATGTATCAACATGAAATTTTGTCCCCAAGTTTCATGTTCACATTTGATTTTTGTTTGGGACCAATTTGTTTAATTCTGTTGTAGAAATTAAAAGAAACTAATTAGGCTAGATAACATAATTGGGTAAGTAGTTTAATAAATATAATTTTTGTTTATTTTTCTTCATGTTATATACATCATCTCCAACATTGATGTTTTTAGCAAAATTAATTTTTAAAAAATATTTTATTAGGCAATCAAAATTGATGATTACTATTTTACGGAACAGTAAATTCAATTTACATGATATTGTGATTATAGAATTGTACAATATCAAACTATTATTCTGTGGAAGAAATGAAACCATAATTGGGGTTAGATAAATCTTTGGCCGACATTATAGTTTGAGGTTGCATATGTATAAATCACTAAAAATATCTTTTTCAGAGAGTTTAAGCAATGAATGCATAAGAATATAAAGATTTCGATACATCTTATAACTCCAAAATCACATGCTTTGTTTCTCAGAAGTAATTCTATCAAAAAGCAACTAACATTTAGAACCAAACCCACGACTCTTTTCATTCTTTGACCCATTTCTTCTCGCATATTAAATATCATACTGTTTCTTTTTCTCATGTCCTCATTAATTGCAAGTTATGAGTCTTAATGCTCAAATAGATTAAGCTCTTTCTTCATACCTCCGTGAAGATACAATCTCATGTGAATTTTCTGCATCAACATTGGATGATGATACATTCCCTTGTACTTCCTCATCTATGGGATTTGAAGACTGTTTCAGGGCTTCTCCATCTTTTTCAACTTTCTTTTTTTCAGGTTTCACCTTTGCTGAAGCGAGTTTTCCATATGAGAAAACTGTTTTCTGAGATGGTAATCTTGGAACTGACTTGCGCAAAGGTTGCTTCTTGAGATGAACTGTTGGCACAGTTCCCTTATCTTAGATGCTTTCTCATCTAAGCTCAGCCTAGCCACACGTTGGGTCTGAGTTTCTTCAGAATCAGTCTTCTTTCTCCCGGGTTTTCGAGATTTGGGTCTTGTTGGTGGTATCTACAAAGAACAAATGATTACTTCATAGATCATGGTTAAGAAGAGAGCACACATACCTTCTTTAACTCTGTTTAGACGGCTGAGAGAAGCTAGGCATGGGTGTAGCTTTGAAGTTTAAGCTCTTTTTTAGCTTTCTAAGCTCAGCTTCTGGTGTTTCCTGCGACAGTACCAAAGAGTTTTAGGTCGATAACACTATGAAAAAGAAGAAGGTTTAGAAGACAAACCACGGACTTGGTTCGCATATTATTAATCTCCTCTTTTTCACATGAGTCTTCTCCTCAAGCTTAACATAGAACTGCACCGTATGAAAGTAGAGATAACAATTATTTTCAAAACATGTTTGTGGAGAGAGAGGACTTCAAACCGAAACCTCTCTTCTCTTTTCAGCCTGTTGGTCACATTTTGAAACTGAAGCCATAGTTTGGAAACGCACCAACTTCAAGAGGTTTGCCATCTTCTGCTTTTGGGCTACTAAGAAATCATAAAATTTATAATCGACATAAATATGAGAGCCCCGCAAGAAAGAAGAGTTGGTAATTATGAGTATCATCTTCAGATGTCTCCGCGGCTTGTTTCTTTTGAGGCTTTGGTTTCACATTGTCGTGGTGACATGTATAATCAAACCATAACGTTTGCTCCACCGACACATACAACTGAAAAGGAAAAGGTATTGGCCGGTAAATTTCGCCATTCTGGATACCATCAATTGCAAGAGGATACAAGATTTTCATATAAGAATAGTTACAGAAATGCATAGAATCACGATAGACACGTCCCTTCCCATTTTGAAGAAACAAACCCGATCTAGAAAAAAAAAAACAAGAAGCAACGATGCAGAGAGAAAGAGAGTGTAGAGAATGAGAGCAATGATCAAGAAACCCACAAGCTACGCCACTGATGTATCTCTTAGCTTCGATAGAATCAACACCAAGGGCAGGAATGGCTAACAAAGCCCCACGATGTGATGTCCTGAATGGCTAACGATGAATATCTGCAAAAAAATCAATAAGACAGTGACACACACACAACCGTACCAGAATCTTTCACAAGTTTGTCCAAGAAAGACAGCAAGACACACAAATACTTCATCACATGAGATTCATCTCTGATATATCAACAGTCCTCAACCATACCTTTGTATTTACCACTTTCCTGTGTATATACCAACAATGTCATCAAAATATTCACATGGCAGCGGAGCAAGCTATCCATTTGACGAAAGAAACACCAAAGGCTGCTCCACCAAGCTTGAAAACATCGACCAACAAATTCCAGAAGCTGGTACTGTATTTGATCTCCATCCTCTGCACACACACACAACTGTATTTTTTTCTAAAGAAAAAGAAAGGTTGTTTCTTGAGTTCTCTGAAAATGCGTTTTGAGCGCAAGCAATACCTCACGCAAAAGTCAAACCAAACAAAATCACAGCTCTTAAATCTTAATCGGATAGAACATGTGTGTTACTTCAATAAAATTCAGATTCTAATAAACCATTATGAATCCTAATTCAATTTTAGGGACAAAAGAAGGGGGAAAAAGTACGGACAGTAGGACTTGGAGAAGATGATTATCATGTGAACCGCCGTGACTTAAAAGACGGCGAGGACGCTGCCCAACATTCGCCATTCTCTCACCTAAATAACAACAACGACGAAACAAAAAAAAGGAATCAGAGGAGTCGCCAAAGGAGAACCACCGAGAAAATGTGGAGAGAAGAAAGTCGATCAATTCCCGTCCTCTCCTCTACCCACTCAAACAGACACCTGGCCACTCAAAAAAAAATGTGAATCAGATAACCAACCAAAATAGGACACATGGCACAGAAGCCCCCTATCTAAAAAAGTGACGTGGATGGCTTGAGAGGGCAGATAACCCTACTTTATTATTATAGATGGTTTGTGTGAAATACAGTATGCTTGATGGTAACTGTTTAAGGAAAAGAGTATTAGCAGCACTAAATAACAGATATACTTCTCATTACCCAATCCCTATGATTCCTCCTGTGAATATCTGGTTAGCATCAGATTACTCTCTCGTGTAATCAGCCAATCCCTATGATTGCTGCTTATATATGTACAAGCTCTCTCCATAATAGGTAAGAACAAAGAATGTATACAACAATCTCACACAAAAATACTATGATGGTGATTGTTTTAGCTATTACAATGGTTTTCATAAAGTTGGTTACGATGGTGATATATGAAATGTTTATTGAGGTTATAACCAATGGAATTAAGATGGTGGTGAAGATGGTATTGAAATCCATTATCATTCCGGGCGTGATGATGATGATCACTTACAATGAATGGAGAGAAGAGCATGATAATTTGTTTGTCTGTTCGTTTCATTTACTATGTTTTTATCTCTGCAAATTAATATTATAAAGAAATTGTTGTGGTCTGTACATGAGTTTTGTTGAGCATTGACAAAGATAGATTATTGTTTATTTTATCATTCAGTGAATAAAGCCAACCGGGTATATTTGTCTGTGTTTAATTAATTATGTGTATGTATGTGCTCTCTCGGATTCAAAACAAAAGCCAACAAACTGGTAATAGTGCATATATTGTGATCTTCTCGTGTACAGTTGTGTTGGAGAAAAGATTTGAGGATTTGAATTGATTCCTGCTTGTTCGCTCTAAGTTGTACAGTTTTGGTAGGTGCTGTCTGAGTATAGCCAGGCTCATTTTGGTAGTACTGGTGATCGTAGAAGACAGAAAAGTGACAGGTTAAAGTTAGTGTATTGCGAATAATCATAACCATTGAATTGTTGTGTATTATGGTCCAGCAATCAACAGGTTTATGAAGAAAAAGACCAGGACCATTGTGAAGCAGCAGAACATGCTGGTGGTTCGTGAAACAAACCAGATCTCAGATATTAAGACTCAGCTGACCAATTTATAGGATTCTTCATTTCCCTGGAAACCAGCCTTCTCCAGTTAGGAAATAAGAATTCTGCATCACCTGATGTCTTCATTGATTATATTCTTTGCAAGATGATCAATCTATGTAGTGCATGTATAAACATAAGATCTTTTTTTTTTTTAGTTTATATACATACCTGTGTTGAATCTTGTGCATAATCGAGAACTTCAGTTATCAGCTATTTAATATAAAGCTATTCAAAATATTCATGAACATTGGGATTGTATTAAGAAGTAAGCACTAAAACAGAAAAAAAGGCTTATACACCTCATGGGTTTAACGTGTCAAGGAAGCTTCTGTCCAATCTCCCATCATATAACATATTAGTAACCAAACTAAAGGTTGAAGCATCTCCTTCAAACCCACAACCTCTCATTTCTTTGATGAGTTTTGCTGATACAGAAGTCTCACCATCTCTAAGATGTGCTCTTATTAGAGAATTATATGTAACACTATCTGGAAGAAGCCCTCCTTTCATTTTTTCTGAACAAGGCATCCGCTTCATTAAGTAGACGTTTTGAACACCATCCTGAGATCATTGTATTTTATGTTACAACATCAGGCTGCACTCCTTTGAGGCTGAGGCTATTGAATAGCCTTGAACATCCCTTCAATGATAATATTGTAAGTGCATGTATCAGGTTCGATTTTACTCTTTTGCATATCCTTGAATATATAACCAATGCTTTCTCTAGTTTCCCGTTCTCTAGAAGACCACCTAACAAAATGTTATAGGTCCAAAGATCTGGAGATACACCAAAATAATCCATTTGACTAAAAGTTTCTTGAGCCATATGACAATCTCCAACTTGAAAAAAGCCTTGAATAAGAGTGTTGTAAGTCATTGTGGTCCCAACCAATCCTCTTTGAGACATCTCGCGGAAGAGTTTCATACCATCCTCTACTCTCTTGGACTTGCATAATCCATTTATGAGAATAGTATACGTCACCGTATCTGGAGGACAATCCTTGCTAACCATCAAATCAAACATCTTATTAGCATCCTCTAACCGACCGTGCCTGCAGAATCCGTTAATCAAAGAGTTGTAAGAGTGAAAACATCAGGAACAATAGACCTTTTGATCATTTCCTTGTAAAGTTTGTCAGCTTCTAAAATTTTCCATTCTTTTGCAAACCCATCGATTAATGAACTAAAAGTAACTACATCAGGGTAGATTTCCCTCTCAGTCATATCCCTCACTAGCTCACCAGCGTCTTCCCATCTACCGTAACTACAAAGGCAACTTATATAAGAGTGTTGTAGGTAACAACATTTGGTGTAACTCCTTTTTTCTCCATTTCATTGAACAAGTCTAGTGCATCATCCACATATCTGTATTTGCAAAGACTATCAATAACCGTGCTGTACATCACAACATTCGCCTTTATTTTCGCTTCCTCCATTTTCTTTAGCAAGATTAAAGCCAAATCAGTGTTACCTCTCTTGCATAATCCATTTACTACAATACTGTAAGTAACCAAATCTGGTTGACATCCTCTTATAACCATCCGGTCGATGAAAGCTACCGCTTCTGAGGCTTTGTTATGGAGAAAAATCCCATGGATCAGAGTGTTGAATGCGACGGTAATAGGTTCGTATCACATTTCAACCATATTGATCAACTAAAGCCACAGCTTCTGTGACTTTATTGTTTAAGAAAAGATTAGGGTTGCAAATGTGTCTGTGTTAGGTTTATATCCCATTTCCACCATTTGATAAACAAGAGAGACTGCATCAGAGATTTTCTTAGCGTGACAGAAACCATTGAGGAGTGAGTTAAGTGTGACTCTATCGGGTTGATTGCCAAGTTTCATCATCATCTTGCCGAGAAGAGCTAATGCATGAGGGAGTTCAGAGGAGGGCAAAAAGCGTTTATCAAGATGTTAAAGCTGTAGAGATCGTGTGTGATTCCTAACTCTTGCATCTGCTCGGACAGAGAGATGACCACACCATACTTGTTCATCTTGGAGATGGTGCTCAACAGTTTACTGAAGTCGACAATGGAAGGGAGAGGACGAGAGTTTACCATTTCACTGAACAACCCAACTGCATCATCTAACTTAGTATCTCTAAGTTTATATCTGGCACTAGACAAAGGATTCCTTGTATTCTCAGCAATCAAAAGGATAGTCTTTGCGTACACGTTACCTAAAAGTTTTGCCTTGCGAACTCAAGACGAAACTCGCAAAACACCAAGATTTTGTTCAGACAAAACCCTTAGCTTCCCATGTCAAAAGGAGAAACACACAGAGAAGGGTAAACTTTGGTGCCCTCGTCCAAGTAGATAAATCTCTTTTGGGCATATTTTTTTTCTGGGATTTCACAAACGACTTTCTCGAGGATGATCTATATCTAGAACCGGTTTGATGTCAGTTTTGGATTTAGAACCGGTTTGATGTCAGTTTTCTGATTTATAACCGGGTATTGTTGTCCCTACAAATCAGGTTATTTAAAAATTAAAAATTAGTAAGTTGTGATATTTGAGAAAATCTTTATTGATTTATTTGCTTTAGAATGGCTGATGATATCGTGTAATTGAAGCGAGAACTTAAATAGTTTAGCTCTATAAAGTAAGATATTTGAACAAATCAAACATATATGCCAGTAAAATATTTCAAATACGAACTCCACTGAAAATTCATGAATGTAAAAAGTTATAAATACTAGAACTAATGTCATTGTAGTCACAAGATAAAACATAAAATTTATATATATTATATAATGAGTGGAAGTAAGCAAATGATGTGCATATCCATTTTATTGATAGTGGTAACGATTCTATCAATTTCCCAAAATATAATTAGTGTTAATGATTCTGCATTTGCTCCAGCAGGAGAGAAACGATTGCTCCCGAACCCATTATCTTGTGTGCGAGATGCAAGAAAAGTTCCCAATTGTGTTGATTCACTGAAGCATTTCCGTTTAAAAGATATTACAAAAGAATGTTGCATAGTTTTAGACGGTGCTTCTGAAGATTGCTTTGCGATTTTGTTTCCTCTGCGTATTATTTCTAGTATTGTTCTTAAAGTTACATGCGAATTACTAGGTACCATCAAGTTTTAATTAATTTATATGATCATATGTCATTCTATTTTGATGTAACAACGATTATTCGTATAATTAAAAGTTATAATAAAAAAATCTGATTCCTAAATCATTATTTCTTACTATTGTTTTGGTCATTTATTGTTTTGTTTATTATGTTTCAAGTACAAAGTTTAATGTATCATAAACCACTATGATTGAAAAACCTTTGCATACGAGTGTTGTAATAACTGATTGTCAAAACTGAACTCAAATACATGATTAGCCCCGTCTAAGTTATTATCCGACAATCCGAGAAACAACCTTTATTAACCATGACTACAAAGATAT